ACTGGAGTAACTTGCAGCTATGGAGCGCTTCTACCAGCTCTTCTAGTCACTGAGCCTCGCCTCCATTTCAGCAAATATATTGCATTTATTACAGGTACCATCATCATTGAAGTAGGCAGGGGAATAGCTAAACACAGCCGCCAGACTGCCCGCCGGGCTACATTTTACAATGCTAATTGCAAATTAGCTGGGCTGCCGGGCTACACACCTAACACAACCGAAGCGCCTGACCCATTGCTGGGACCGAAGCTCCGGACATTAACCCATGCTACGATTGTAACATTAAATTTAATTGAATCGACATAGCGACATGTGCCTAACGTTACTGTAATACTAATTAAAACAGACATTTGACTTTATGTTGTACCTGTCCAGGAGAAGAAGAGCGAGATTGTTCAGACAGAGTCAGATTGTTCACAGATTGACTCACACATGAACGTACATGAACGCGCAGCCGGACCGGCTTGTAAACAATGGGCTGGAGATCAACACAGAGAGAGGGTGTGTGAGGTCACGCTATACTCCAGATGAAATTACACCTCTAGTTCTTCACATAGCAATTTTTTAATTCCTTCAATCTAGAAATGATGAATTTCACTTATTGCCCCTTTAATTAATATTGTTTGTGTTGGTTTCATTTCAACACTGAGGGGCACACATAAAATGGAGTGTTTGGGGTCGTCCTCCAACCTGTTCTCATTCATAGGTCACCCAATACAGATGCTTTGTCACATCCCCTCAGCTTTTCATACTGACGCATGTGGCATCCTTTAGTGTCTGAACACACAGCTGTCTCCTGGATAAAACATGTTACAACACGTGGTTAACACTGTCAGATTGTCACGGTTAGGTTTAGGTAACAAAACTACTTGGTTTGGCTTAACACAAGTACGTAATGTGATGTAAGTTACATCATACTATGTCAAAAAAATGTTGCTTTTTGTTTCACACTGGAGGTGCCTATGTAAGTTACGTAACATTACATTAAAACAACGTTGACTGCAGTCTCCTGGCTGAAAGTCTGTGATTGTTTGACTCATCCATCGCCCATCCTGCCCAACCTATGCAGAGTGTCTTGGCCTTTATACCACATCAGTTGCTCAGTCAAATATTGCCAAGGATGGGTTTAAATTGGAGTCAGCTGAAATCCAACGCATCTCATGAAGATGCTGAAGTGTGCCTTCGGCATCAGTATGACAAAGTGTTGGTATATGAAAACTTGGGAATGGGAACAGGCTGCAAATTCCATCCATCAGCATCTCTAAAGCTCAGTGATTAACACCCTGCCGTCACACTTTATGCAGGTTATGTGCCAAACTATTCTTTGTCAGGCAACCAGCAAAGACTGACGTGACTGGAACTGGACAAGAAAGTTTTCACACTCTGTTTTTTTGTGCAGTTTAAACAGCGGCTGTTTCTCCCTGCTCCCAGTCTTTATGCTAAGCTAAGCTAAGCTAAGCTAAGCTAAGCTAAGGGTCTGCTGGCTATAGCTTCATACTGAGATGTTTTGGAGGCAGTGAGGGTCTAATGAAAGAATGAGTGGCATCATAGGATGCAGTATTTGTGGAGGGTGACATTCTGTGGACCAAAAGTCAGATTATCTCTACCTCTTCTTCTGCAGTTTGGATGATCCTTTTTCTTCGCACACAAGCACATCAGTGTTCAGTGTTTCCCCAAAAGTTGGGGTCATTTGGGCTCTGGGATCAGATGTTAAAGTTATAAAACAGTATCACATTTTCCCAGATAGTAAGACTGCACATGACCGCAACATTTCAGTGTCATCACTCAGTTTACACTACGTTACACAAAATAAATACAAGAAGAGAAATAAACACAAATACATTCCACACATGGGAAACACACACACACACACAGATGTGAGCTGACTAGAGCACCTCCGTCACGCAACCCTTTAGTATAAGACACAAAATACTTTTTGTAATCAGCAGCACGAGACTGAACCTGTAACATGACCTCTGTGTGTGTGTGTGTGTGTGTGTGGGTGTGTGTGTGTGTGTGAACCCAACTCAGGTCATGCATGAGTTCGGTCACATGCAGCCTTTTAGCAGACTGTTCAATGCTGCTATTGTTTCCCTCTATATTTCACACACACACACACACACACACACACTCACTCCATCCCAACAAAACTACTGACACAATTTATTATATTGTTAACACTGCCTGAGAGTCTCAGTATGGAGAACAAAATTGTAGATAAGAAAACAAATTGTCAGACATCCTGCATCACGTACAACCACCGTTTCCATGGCAACGATCATTAACAAGAAACTTCTCATGTTTTAGAGACACATAATTACCGGGGTTATGACGTGGAACCTATCTGTCTGTCTGTCTCTCTGTCTGTCAGTTCATCAGACGACATTTCCAGTGCGAGTCTTCAAGCTGTTGGGGGTGGAGACTCTGATCGTGACGAACGCTGCTGGCTCATTGGCCGACGGTCTCCAGCCTGGTGACATCATGATCATCAAAGACCACGTAAACTTCCCTGGATTGGTCGGTCTGAACCCGCTGAGCGGACCCAACGACGACAAGTAACACACTGATTTATTTACCTGGTTGTGTGTTGTTGTCTTGTTTATTTGTTGAATTGTTATTGTTTGTTTTTAAATCAATTTTCTCTGTATGAACTCTTTTTCACACTGTTGCTGTTCATTGTGATCATATTGTTGCTTGTGTTAACTCAGTTGTTATAGTTACAAAGTATTGAAGTTTGTTGCTTTGTTTTACAGGTTCGGGCCTCGTTTCCCGGCCATGTCAGGTTGCTATGACAAAGGCCTGCGTTGCTTAGCAATGGAGATCGCCAAGCAGCTGGGCGTGGCCGGCCTCATGCAGGAGGGCGTGTACGCCATGGTGGGGGGGCCAAACTTTGAAACTATCGCTGAGGCCAGACTGCTGCATCGACTCGGGGTGGATGCTGTCGGTAAGACTCACCCAAATTAACCCTAATCTTAATCCTCACCTTCACCCAAGAACTTTTGGGACCCAAACACTTGATTTCCTGCATGCTGGTAAATTTTAAAGCAACAATTTGTGCCATTTCTGCCCAGTTTATGGTGAAAATGTCATGTTACTTCCTGCTTTGACCGTTCATAGTTTAGGCAATGTTGCATCTCTGAGTCATGTTCTAGCAGTTCGTCAAATAATAATAGTCCTCTGCTACTTTTATGTCTTTACTGGACAAAAACATGAACCTAATCCTCTGTAAAAGTACACAAGTATTAGCATTAGCATAGCAAATATACTTAAAGTACCAAAAGTATTTACAACCTCAATTCTAAAAAAGTTGGGGCGCTGTGTAAAGCGTAAATAAAAAAAAAATGCAATGATTTGTAAATCCTTTTTGACCTATATTCAGTTGAATACTGTCCAAAGACACAATATTTGATATTCAAACTAAATAACTTTATTGTTTTTTTTGTAAATATACACTTAGTCTTGAGTTTGATGCCTGCAAGACGCTCCAAAAAAGTTGGGACAGGGGTAGTCTTGCTCACCAGACCTTTCTCAAGAAAAGAAAGGTCTGGCTGGGCCGACTCTCACTTTAAGACTGGAGAAAAAAATGCCCCGGCTGCTTGTATTTCTTTCAACCAATCACAATCGTTCTTGGCGGTGCCACAGCAATGGTGCGCTTGCAAAAATATTGCCGGGGGGAAACAGGTTTTGCTGGTTTATCCACTGTCTTTGGTGTAACACGCCCACAAAAATATCGCCTACAGGACGCAAACCATGGTAGGAAAATGGCTACATCCCCGCAAGATCAAACACCGCAAAAGTTAGTAAAGGACGTGTTGAAAACTGCTACACAACTGGAGGTGGTAGGGCGGGACTTCAGCGGGTGGCTCGTTCCGCCCAATGAGAGGCTGATCTTTGCAG